ATGAATCAGTGGAAAGGCACTCCTAACTTATAACTGTGACAAAAGTTTAATCAAAGACAATTTCACCTCTTTATTTGCTGGCTTGTCTGAAAACCACTTTATGGGCACATTTATAAGCAGAGTCACAAACAGTAAAGCAATTAACTTAATTTAATTATTCTGAAACTGCAAACAAATGCTGCTGATAAAATCTAAATAAATGTTTGCCATTTCAAATATGTTTAAAATAAACAAAAACAGGTCTAGAAATATTTTACTCCTGAAAATGTGAGTAAAATATAGTCTCTGTACATTTAAAAAGTATTTGGACATTTACACTACCGTTCAAAAGTTTGGGGTTTAAACGTTTTTTAAAAGAAGTCTATTATGCTCACCAAGGCTGAATTTATTTGATCAAAAATACAGTCAAACAGCAATATTGTGAAATATTATTACATTTTAAAAGAACTGTTTTCTATTTGAATATATCTTAAAATGTATTTTATTCATCTGCTGGCAAAGCTGAATTTTCAGCCGCCATTACTCCAGTCTTCAGTGTCACGTTTCTTCAGAAATCATTCTAATATGATGATTTGGAGCTCAAGAAACATTTTTGATTATCAATGCTGAAATGCTGCTTATGGGAACAGTGATTCATTTTTACAAGATACTTTGATGATTAGAAAGTTCAAAAGAACAGCATTCATTTGAAGTAGAAATCTTTTTTGTAAAATTATAAGTGTATTTACTGTCACTAATTGATTATTTAATATGTGCTTGATGAATAAAAGCATTTTTTTCATTTTTTTCTTTTTTAATAAATAAATAAAAATTACTGTGCCCAAACTTTTGAACAGTATAGTGTAGGTCACACAAAATGCACTTTTTCACAACTTCTTTACATTTTACTAACTTTACTCAACTGCAGTTACACCGTTACTCATCAACTAGTATCAAGGTAACTAGTGACAACCTGAACCTCTTATTATATGTTTTGTCTTAATTTTGAACAGCATATCTATTGTGTCATTCATTTCAAATCTAAAAAACGTACTTATTTATTTTGTGAAATGTTTTGCTTTAATAAATGTGGCACAGGCACACATTTCAAGAAAACGTTTTCACATTCATACAAAAACTGCAGATAAATGGAGGGATGCACATACAGACACAGACCAATTAAATCATTTTCAAGTGTGGTTTCGCAAGACGACAAGTGCTGTATAAATGTTTGCACACATTAGAATCAATAGTCTGAACAATGCATGCTAGGATTTTTCCTGTCATTCAGTGCAGTGAGTGCGCCTTCACATCGGAAAGTCTCTCTGTCTAGCTGGGTTCTTTATTACTGCTTGTTTGTCTTAGCACACAGAGCCTCTCGCCTCAGCCTGGAGACACCATAGCGACCAGATTCGCTGAGATCACGCACAGAGGCGTCCCAAAGAGCTGACACTGGACAAATCTGCTCTCCTGGTACTCACTATAATGCACATTATTTATGAGCAATGCCAGTCCATTTGAGTATCATAACAGCAGCTAAAGAATTAGAACTTATTTGCTTTTGAGTGAATGCAAGAAACTGTTGCTATCGACCTACTGTACACGAAACATAATAAATACTGTGCATAAAAAATATCAGTGTCATAGTACATGAAAACAGAAAGCATGTGACCCTTTAAAAGCACTGTTTGACTAACAGGTTGACTTACAGTGCTGAGAAAAGCCCTGACATGATTGTGGAGGCTGTAATAGTGTTGCACACCTCGTTGTCAATCAAATGCTGGACTTATAAATGCAGCCTCACTGTTGCCCTTTCACCCATTTGGTTTCTTCTTACGGCTACTGTTACAAATCTATATGGCATGGAAACATCTACACTCGGAGAGTGTCAGCTTCATTGATTAGAATGGGAACATTCCTGTTTGTGGCTTTGCTAGCAGTATAAACAGGGTGTTACAATGTGCTGTTGACTGTGAGGGACAGAGTGAATTAAAATGTTTTGTTGTTACATGGTGTCTGAAAGGGGAATCTAGAAATTCACCTAAGACATGGCATGCCTGTTTAGGATTTGTATTGTGCAACTTGCAATACACAAGCCCATTGAATCCCACTGACAACATTTGAGAAAACTTTTCTTTTGAGTTTGAAGAGTGTAGAATGTTAACTATAAATAAATGCAGACTGTCTTGATTTCATGTGGACCTTTTTGCATGGCTGTTGTGAAGTGTCACATGACATGAGAGAGAAAGCAAGTAAACCATAGATACAACTGCCATGTTTGGTATATATAACAGTAAAAAAAAAACACATTTCCTCTTAGATCACCATTGTCTTTCCATTCCAGTTGCCTAGTGAAAAAAAAAAACTGTTCAATTATGCTAAAATACTTACCCACTACAGTTTTGAGGTTTTAACAAAAAAATTAACACATGCAGTTTGATTCATTGAGCTATCCTAGGAGTAATTTCACTTAGTGGAATACAAATGGGATCAAATGACAAACTCGTTATGTATACCTTGGCATAAGGTGTAACAATTCACAACTACTGTTTTTGCACAGGGCTTATTTTACCATTATAGAATCACAACATAGAGTTTAGATAAGTTAAGCATGCATTATACATAACATTTCTAACAGGTTGTCCTTTATTTTACATTAAGATGCTACTGCAGTGTGTTATCAACAATTAAACACTGTTTGTGTTCAGTTTATGGTCCGAAAGTAAGCAGGGTTCAAGGCAAAAATGCCACTAAACGTGGCCTGTACTTAACGTGCAAATGTATTTTTTGTATATTACATTTGCCATATATTTAATCAAATCTAGTCATAGGTTTGGATAGCGTATTTAATTGGCCTGTCTGATTCAGGTGAGCAAATTGTGATAATGTGTGAATAATACAATGGCTTTTAGGGAGTTGACTAATTTAAAGAAATGTCATGTTTTTATGTGAAATTTAAACCAAAGGTCTTCAACCCTGCTCCTGGGGACCCACTGTCCTGCAAAGTTTATTTCCAACCTGCTTCAGCACACCTGCCTGTGTATTTTCAAGCAATCTTGAGAAGCTTGATTAGCTGCTTCAGGTGTTGATTAGGGTTGTAGCTAAACTCTGCAGGACAGTGGGTCCCCAGGAATACAGTTGAAGACCTCTGATTTAAACGTCTGTATGTTACCTTTAAATATTCAACTTACCAACCTTTAGAGTATTTGCCATTTACGCCACTAGCACAGTTAGCTAAATGCCAATTATTAAAAAAAAACCTGTAAAGTTTCTAGTTGTGACATGTAAATCTATAATAAAATGATCCCTCTGATGGCATGCTTTATCGACACACTGCTCGAAACGCAACGGAAACCAGCTAAGCAATTACCTGTTGTTATTGGTGAACGCGACTTCTGTGCATTAACTATAAAGATAACTATAATGATAATAGTGTCCACACCAACACACAATATCTTTCTGTTTATTATAAAAATGCACCACTGCTTTGTTAATGTGTTGCTTTAAATGTTCTGAAAGTGATTCCAACCATATCGTTCCTCAGTGTTGCTATCATTATAGCTGCGATGTGGACTTATTCTCACAGAATTAGAACAATTAAAATGCTATAGTTATCATTACATTTATCCTTAGTGTGAAAGGACCTTATTACTTTTCTAGTCAATAATGAATGTCATGTTGAAATATATACAGTTCAAATAGGGGGGAAAACAGCCTTTTGTGCCACAAGCTTTTGGGGTTTAAAACTAATTTAGAGGAATCTGACACAAGTGCCACAAAAACCCAGACCACTGCCAACTCACACCCTTCAATTGGAGTATTTGACATAAATTTGATGACACACAATGCTACGTTTTGTTCTATTTATTTATTCACTTTTTTATCTTTTAGAAAACCATTTCCTCATAATGGTTGAAAAAAAGAGCCTATGAAAATCAATTCCATGTAGGCCAAATATTATGTATTAAAAAGAAAATTGTCTAACACTAGGTTTCATCCAGCAACAAGAACCGACAAAATATCTCAACGTCATAAAGTCCAAAGTTGTATCTTATTGCAAAACTTTAATATTTACTTCTTAGAAACGTACAGATCCTAAACGCCTCTTCCACCTACCATTTAAATATAAAATCGAGCACAATACAATTGCACACAAAGAATAACGGGACATTAAAGACGGGAGGCGCTCCGACAATGAGGATGGAAGGTGTCTACAGACCGCAGTTAGTCGAAACGATGCTTTTTATTATTACAATACACCATGCGTATGCAGAACAACGTTCGTTATCACGCGGATAATATTCTGCTACTATTCTAGTAACATTCTAACAGAAAAACCTTTATTTAACATAATATGAGCTGGTTAGCCGGTATGCTAGCAGGCTGCAGATGGGAGGCACTGGCCCTCACCTCGGTGCTGGAATAACATAAAGTCCAAAGTTGTATCTTATTGCAAAACTTTAATATTTACTTCTTAGAAACGTACAGATCCTAAACGCCTCTTCCACCTACCATTTAAATATAAAATCGAGCACAATACAATTGCACACAAAGAATAACGGGACATTAAAGACGGGAGGCGCTCCGACAATGAGGATGGAAGGTGTCTACAGACCGCAGTTAGTCGAAACGATGCTTTTTATTATTACAATACACCATGCGTATGCAGAACAACGTTCGTTATCACGCGGATAATATTCTGCTACTATTCTAGTAACATTCTAACAGAAAAACCTTTATTTAACATAATATGAGCTGGTTAGCCGGTATGCTAGCAGGCTGCAGATGGGAGGCACTGGCCATCACCTCGGTGCTGGAATAACAACAGTAACGTTAGGTTTATACAGCTGAGGGGTGCATTAGACAGTCGCTTCCGGGGATTTACCTATATATTTTACATCTGACATCTGATTTTTTTTCCTATTTAAATCAGCGCAATAAGACTAGGATGCACAAGCCTCGCCTTTCTGACACATCTAATAACGGTTTGCTTGTTCCAAAGTGGCTTCCATAGATCTTACCTTCAGTGATGACAGTCCCGGTACAGGAACAAAACACTTCCGAGGAAATACGATGGTGTGATTTATTTCCAAACGTACGGCTTTCCAAACCTAGCCAGTAAGTTTAAACAACCCAGAAAATCCGCCGGCTCGCCTCTGAAGTGATGGAAGCAGAATGAATCCACGCGTTGCTGTGGGTATCTAGGAAATGCTCGTCTCTCTGCCGCTCCCTGCCAAATAATGACCCCTCCCACTGAATCCCCAGCCACACACACGACAGGTGCTGAGTATGCGCGCTCCCTTCTTGCTAAATAGTGAGCCGCGCGGTGGCTCTGTAATGCGCCTGCGCCATGAGCGCGGCGAGAAAGAGCGCAGCCTGGGATGGGCGGGGCGAAGATGATGCTGCGCATCTTTGTTAAATAGTGATGCTCAGCTGGAGGATGGAGCGCGTGCTCAGTGATGTATGCTTATTGCAGTTTACGATTGTTTGGAATTGTCTTTTTTTCTCTCTCTCTCTCTTATTGAGAAACAGGCTTACTGTGTTTATGGAAAGCATAAACAAACACCAATATTAGTTTGTTTGTTTGTTTTTAAGTAATGATAACTAAAATTATATGATTATAAATATAATTTTGTATAAGTATTTTTTAAAAAGAACAAAAACGCTATGTCAGTATTGAATAATTCAATATCAGTAGTCAATAGTCAATATTTATTGCAATTTAAATAATTGTTGAATTTCTCTGAACTGGCATTTTACATAAAAAAGCACAAAATGTGCAGTGGTAGATTTCAATGCTAGCCGAAATGACCACTTTTATTAATTGGCTTATCAGCTACACTTTTTGCCGAAGCTGATAATCTCAAAATCAAAGAAACTAAGTCTTTCACTATCGATAATAGGGATGTAACGGTATGAAAATTTCATATCACGATTATAGTGACCAAAGTTATCACGGTTATCAATATTATCACGGTTTTGTTCAAATTAGATGAAAACGTTCAAAAAGAACTGATACTCACACTCAACAACAACAATACTGCATGCTGCTTCTGCGTCAGACTGATGCTGGCTGGACAGGATTTACAGCGAGTTTTCAAAAGCGCGATAATCAAACACGGTTTTGATGATAATTAAATTTTAAACGGTAATACTAACCGTCAGGGCATTTTATCGTGATTTATAGTGAAACCGGTAATCGTTCCATCCCTAATCGATAATCTTCCTTTTCAATGAATTCTCATTTATAATCATGTTCAGATTTAAAAAAAAAAAAAAAGTGTTGTAAATGTGTTGCTTAAGGTTGTTTTATGGCTTGAATACAGTACAAGTAGTTGCATAGAGCTGAGTGAAGATTCAGCAAAAATGTTACTTTTGTTCGCCACATTAGAAAAAAAAAACCATACATGTTATAATAACATGGGAGTGAGCAAATTACAACAATTTTCATTTCTGGAAGAACTATTCTTATTCCTGTATTCCTGAATACAGGCCACTCTCTGTACCCGGTGAACCCGGGGTTGTGGACATCATTGTTCTTTCAGTCGTATGTTCACCATGCTGTGCCATGCTATGTCAGTTATATATAAACATATATCAGACGACTGTCAGGACCAGAAGGACAGATATTTTCATAACAATGCTACACAAATCCTGACCAGCTCTCGACAAGCAGCTTTAGATGATAAAAGCAGTATTCCAATATGGTGAATTCACTGGACAGACAGGAAACTACAGTGAATGGTCTGAAGGCTTATACAGCCTTACTGTTGTAACAACAGCCTGTTTGCTTTTTTTGTTTTTTTGTTAGTTTTTTTGCTGATACGCACACTTCCACCTTGCCAGAGATTGGCAGTATGCATAATAAATGTGCTGAATAAGTGAGAGGTTTACATATTCATAAAGCTGTAGTAAGCGAGTTCCAGTATAGCAGAAAGACCTTCCGTCTGTTGGAAAACAGAGACAATTTTGGAAGGTTAAATGCATTAAAAAAAAAAAAAATCTACTGCATGCACATTTGGTCTATGCTTTGGCAATGTGTAAAATCAGTTAAAGGTGCCATAGAATGGAAAACTGTATTTACCTTGGCATAGTTGAATAATAACAGTTCTGTACATGGAAATGACATACCCTGAGCCTCAAACAGTTATCAGTGTATTACAAAGGTACAAAACAGATTTCAGTACTTCAATAGGTTGGTATATTAACATTATATCAGTTAATGAAATTACGGTATTTAACTGTAAATTTTAGTTTCAACGTAAAACCTAAAATGTTGCTACCGCATTTTTTACGGTAAAATTCCGGGGTACCACAGCTGCCGGTTTTTTACCGTAAATTTTACGGAATTTTTTTACTGTGAATGGTTCACAAAACATTGAAGGAATAGTTCACCCAAAAATGAAAATTTTTCAAATATTTACTCACCCTCAGCCCATCCAAGATGTAGATGAGTTTGTTTCTTTGTCAGATCAGATTTGAGTAAAAATAGCTTTAGATCACTTGCCCACCAATGGATCCTCTGCCGTGAATGGGTGCTATCAGAATGAGAGTCCAAACAGCTGATAAAAAAAACATCACAATAATCCACAAAACTCCAGTCCATCAATTAACATTTTGTGAAGTGAAAAGCTATGGGTTTTTAATAAACAAATGCAGTATTAAGGCATTATAACTTTAAATCGTCCACAGGAGTCCGTAATCCATTATAACGCATCCTCCAGTGAAAAAGTCCACCTCCAATTGTCCTTGTACATCAATCAAAACATTTGTTTAGAGCTGTTTTGGACTGTTTTCTATTGTAAATGGTGTTTGATCCATGTATATTTCTCTCCTGATTCAAACGAGACAACTTTTTCACTGGCGAAAGCAAAATTTATGGATAGAGGACTTATATTTTAGCCTGAAGCTGTTCACTTCACAATTGTCACGCCCCTGGACTCTGTGTGTTTTTCCCTCTCCATGTGCCTGCCCTGACCTAGTTCCCTTTCATGGGAACTTCGAACTGCGTCCTCTAGGGGTCGCTATGGGGAACGCCTCGTCGTGACCCGTGTCTGAAGCATACATTGAAAAACACCAACTCGTTGGCCGGCACGTCATGGCTGTCGCCGGCCAACGAGTTGGTGTTTTTCAATGTATGCTTCAGACACGGGTCACGACGAGGCGTTCCCCATAGCGACCCCTAGAGGACGCAGTGTCTCGTTCCCTACTCAGGGAACCATGGTTACATAAGTAACCTGAGACGTTTTTCCATGTTAATTGTTTATTAGTTCCAGGTGTGTCTCATTCCCCTCGTCAAGTCCTGTGTATTTATAGTGAGTCCTGTTCTGAGTTCTTGGTCTGGTATTGAATGTTCGTCTTTCCCCGCTACGTGTGTGTTCCTGGTTCCCTTGGATGTTTATTAAAGTCTGTTAGTTTGAAGTTTACTCCACGTCTCCTCGTTCCTCGCTCCGTGCTCCTCACAGTAGCGATCGTGACAACAAGGCTTGTGGATTACTGTGTTTTTGTCAGGACTCTCACCCATTCATTGCAGAGGATCCATTGGTGAGCAAGTGATGTAATGCTACATTTCTCAGTTCAGAAGAAGAAACAAACTCATCTACATCTTGGATGGCCTGTGGGTAAATCAATTTCCAGCAAATTTTCATATTTGGGTGAATTATCCTTTTAATGGATTATTCTATTAAATCAGATATTTTCAATTAATTAGTTGATCTGTTGCAAAACCAGTCTAAATGATTCGTTCACGAATTTTACTGATTCGGTTATCAAGATTAACTCACTGACTCTATTATCCAATTAGAGTGATTATTGATTTAATAGCTCACATTTTTCTTGAGGGTGAGTCCATTTTTGGTCAAACTAATCCTTATTTGAAATCAAAAGATGTTTCAAACACTGTTAATTTCCCTCCTGCTTCTCAAATCATTCCAGACCATCTGACCTCAACCTTAAACAATTCAGATTAAAAATGAACTCTGACATGTTCACGTAAATATTTACAGTAAGTAGCATCTACAGTAGCAGCATATCACATTGAGTTCAGCACATATGACAACCTCTGATCACAGCAGTTTGGCTGATGCAAATCAACAGTCACCTTTAAACTATCCTGTTTTGCTTATTGGAATTAATGCACAGTAAATTCGTTCCAAATGACTAAGTAACGACCTAACCACAAAATCTGAAGGTCATGAGCAACGTCCTGCTTCAGTTGCATCACATTTCAGACTATGTTTACAGACACATGCTCATCAATACTACAGAGGGTTCCGCTGGTGCACTGTACATTTGCTGAATTCAAAGACAAATCGCAGAGCCTGGAGTAAGTAGGCAATTACAAAAAGCTGAAGTTGTGCTTTGCATGGAAAAAAAAAAGGATTAAACTTGAGTTCCAGCCAAAATTTTAGGTCAGTTGTGAGTGACTTTAATGCACCCTTTGGGACGCAATCAACTTAAACATGCTTGCTGAATTCAGTGAAAATTAACCGGTGGGTTGGCACAGGTGGCTTTACAGTTCAGTAATAAATATTATAAAGCTGCACCATTACCCTTTGCCTTCTGTTCAGTTATGAGGGTAAAATACGTGTTCACACACCTGGCTGTATGACAGCAGCCCAGCTCAAACTGTTTGAGAGTTTGGATGTTAGTGGGCAGCATCCAGGGCTTTTTGGGGGGATTATGGCTATCTGAAGGAGAGTCTTAGTCCTGCCCAACCCCTCTCAGACCCACCATCTGCTGCTTTCCACTCTCTTCATCTGGAACAAATCAGCTATTGAGAAGACAACAATCCGAGACAAACCTGATTTCTGTTTGTTTGTTTGTTCAATATGTACATTTGCTTCTAAATCACCCATGATGTAATAATTATTTATAATTCCACATAATTTCATTTAATTTTTCATTTATAATTACAGTTAGTAATTGGTTTTAACTCTCCATTCAAAATATGCATTCTTTGCATTTGACATGCATTTTGGTCATAAAAATGCAAAATAATCTTCAAGTCGTTAACATTACTTACTGCATTAGGTATGATGAACTAAAGGCAAACACGTTTTGCAGAATTTATTAATCTTGGTTAATTTATAAATAAACTTGTTCATTTTTAATTCATGTTTGTTCATAATTCATTAGCTAAATGTTGGTTTATATACATGTTAAAAATGTATGCATACACTACTGTTCAAAAAGTTTTTTTTTTTGTTTTTTTTTTGAAAGAAATTAATACTTTTATTCAACAATTAC